ATAATAAACCATAAAGGAACAAGGATGTTTAAGGATGGAGAAGATTGACACAGATTACTGACGACGAACTCGAAAAAAATCGGGCTTAACTTTTAAGATATGTAAACCGTGATGTAGCTCTGACAATGTACTTCATGTTTGCTAGAATGGAGAGTCCAAGACACTCATGTTCATTGATGGCTGCCCAGCTGATCTTTTCTGCACAGTGAATCTCCGAGGAGGCAACAGTTTCGTGTTGGCTAAAGTGAAGCGTATTTTCCAACACATGGTTTTCGTTGCTTACAGTTTGAGATTAGAACTGCAGTTTCTGATGGACGAGTTCGCCTTGCCACCAGATACTAACCATTTAATTGAGGAATGGGAAATTGCCGCTAAAAATTTTGAAAAGAGGATGAAAGCGGATGAAGGGGAATTGAATGAAAAAGAGGACAGTGGTGGAGATTGTTCAGAACAGAATAAGAACTTGACAGAAACAACACAGCAAGATTCTTGTGAAGGAAGTGAACTTTTCCTCACAGCGTTAAAAAGCACCATTTTAGCCAGCTCGCCATTTCTCGACTATCCGCTCCCGTATTTGCTCACAGAAGCGGGTAGAAACATGGCCTTAAGATCCGCTCTGCCTCGAGATATTTACTGGTCAGCACGACTCGACCTAGATCCCCATTCTCGTCACTTGACCGAAGAGGGTATGGAGGAGTTTGATTTTTCAAATCCTCATCAGCGCCGCCTGAGTAAGCTGGTTTGCATGTTGGAACCACACCCTCTGTTGTCAGCGTCACTGACAATGGATCCTAATAACATATTGTTTCAAGCCTTGGTGAGCGACTTTCGCGCCCAGGGAGGACAAATACAGCTGACGAAGAATGGGATGGCTGTGTCCCGAGGCCGTTGTAAATGGCTTGAAGGTATTGGCGAGAAGAAGGTTAGAAAGAGCAATAAAGAAAAGAGCTGTCTCCAGGGAACTAACAGCCCAAAGATCAATTTTCCAGAAAGAACAAATGAAGAAGAGCAAGAACAGAAGGATCAGTTTGTTCCAGCAAGCCCGCTTCATTTTAACAGAAAGGTATTACAGGGTTTACCAAGATGGTATAGCTTTATAGGCACGCAATGCGTGCGGACTGCTATGAAGCTGTTGTCTTTTGTACGAATTGCTGATCAATGATACTAGAATGTGTGCAGAGGATGCATACCTCGCTAATCAAAACCAAAACTAAGCTGGGAACCGAGGAATAAACTCCTAAAATTCTATGCTAATTAAAGGGAATCTTGGCTAAAAACGGTTTTGTTCCAAATCACAAGCTGGTGTTTTTGTTAAACTATTTCAGTGATTTGAAGTCGATAATTGTCTGTCTGTTTTGAATGCTGAGTGGTTACTTTCAGCTATTTTAGGATATAAAATTTTCCGCCCGCCGCCATGTTTATTTTTGCAAAGCTTGATGTGAAATTATGACGTCATTGTGTGGTTGGGCGTTTTTTGAAATACAGCATTGTGTGTATCTAGAGAAATAAGAGTGCTTCTAATCATTTCTTATTCATATTCTGGATGAATCTGCTTAGTCCCAATGAGAAATCTTCCTCTACAGACTCCATGTTGAGATCTCTGACTGCGCAATGACGTCATGAATTACCGTAAGGTAAACATGGCGACGCCCAGGTGATGTAAACTGAAAACCAAAAACTTTGTATTGGAATCACTTATATAGATATCAGCTTAAAACCCTTGGATCATTTAAAGCGAACCATTAGGTGAACTTTGGAACTTGAACTGATTTTCAGCCAAGATTTGCATTAAGATCTGATATCCATATTATGATCACAAACTTATTGAATGATTTATGAGTTTGAGATGTCAAAATCAAAACTCTCCCTTGTGGTTTTTATATGTTTTATTTGTCTCTCTATGGGAGAAATCGTTGTAAACTCAAGTAAAGAAACTTCGGTTTGTAGCAGTTACTAACTTGAGATAATTTTTTTTCCAGCAAGTGGACTGTTTGGATCCATATGCTCATCAGAGAATTGCCGTGTTATTCATAAGCTACTCAAATGAATCGAACAATTCACCCCGCCCGTGTATTAGTCCATGGTAAGTAATAACATGGACGAGTAGGGAACTTCTTGGATGGTTTAGGGGGGTGGGGGTTGGGGGCATTGGTAACCTACGAACGCTGACAATCTCACAAATTAAACCCCATCAAATATTTTCGCTCACACGCGATTGGTCTAAACGCATCACGTGACTGAATGTGCCTCAGCTGAATCTGGGGCACATTGATATTTCCCAATTTGCGTAAAGCGGGAAATATTGGACGGATAATAAACGCAATAGCCCCCATTTGACTTTAAAAATATAAACGGATACTTGTCCTTGGACATTATCTGTTTCTCAAAGCTCACGGTTTTCCTCAAGCTTCGCTCATGGAAAACTGTTAGCTTCTCGGAACAGATAACGTCCGCGGACAAATATCCGAGCACATTTTCGCACTCGGCTTTTCTGGCTGAATATTTGGTAGCGTTTCAGATGAAATAGACTTGCCAGTAATTCAAGCTGCGAACGCCGAGCTCGGAACAAGAAAAATGTCTGCGACCCTCAAAACCCAATTGCAAAGTGCGCGATGAAAAAGAACGCAAGCTACCTAAAACTGCAACCGTGAGCAGTCAATTAATACACTGCAATTTTAACCGTTGTTTTTATATATATTGCAGGGCTGTTTTCATGGAGTTTTATGGACGAAACGACATCACTCTTGGTGGTTTTCTGGAGATATACTGTTTTAGGTATATTGTGATGGGTTTTGAAATGCAAACTTGAAGTGAATATTCAAACGGTTTTTGAAACAAGTTTCGCAAAACGTTGTTGCCTGTGTTAAAGGCTGTGAAATGTTTTGCTATCTTGCTGTCCATACCAAACCAAACATTTCGTGAGAAAAAGTACTTCAAAATGCGCCATTTGCGGGTAGTGGAGAATAGGATTGCATCTCTATGTGACCTTAGAATTCAGTCAATAGCAAAGTTAGTAAAGGTTGCAGCACCGAACTGCTTCTGATAAAACTTGAAACCGTTTCTGGCTTATTGTAAGACACTTTTGCACCAGCAACAAGTGCATCCCCTCATTCATCATGACTTGGGTAACGTGAAAGGGATTTCTTTTTCAGACCATCTTGAATGTAATATATTATATCAAACACGAAATACTTTGTCTGACCACATTTCCAAACACTGAGAAGAGAGTTGAAAATACGACGCGTAGCGGAGTATTTTTGACGAACATCGAGGTGTTTGGAAGTGTGGTCAATCACGACCTTGAATAGGTCGGTAAAGTCTGTATACGAGCCAAGTGGCCCATCAGGCCGGAGCTTATCCCGATTTTCGTAGCATGAAGCGACTAGGAGTATTTCTACTCCGGGATGGGATGCTAGTCCATCGCAGGGTTACCCCCAGCATTAAGTTCGCCGGTACCGATTTATACACCTGGGTGGAGAGAGGCACTGTGAGAGTAAAGTGTCTTGCCCAAGAACACAACACAATGTCCCTGGCCAGGGCTCGAACCNCAGGCCGTCGATCCCCCATCCCCAAAGTCACTCGGCTACTTCACTCTAAGCCAGTTCCTTTTCTGCCCCTTTAGCCACGTTCAGACCCTTCCAGCTGGAGCCTGTTCACAGGCTACGAGAACTAGGTAGTGCAGTAAATAAATAAATAAATAAATAAATAAATAAATAAACAAACAAACAACAAATAAACAAATAAATAAGTAAATATAAAATGACCTTTATTTACCCTTGGCAGTGTTTATAGCACAAAGGCTAATATGACTGAAACAAATAATTCAAATTGAATATAACATTGTTAAGAATCCCAACTAGCCGGAGGCAAACCAGTTGGCTATTTACAAGCGTGGCCGAGGATTTGAACTCGGGGCTACCGAGATACAAATCCGGGTAGTGGTCAGAGCGGGACTCGAACCCGAGACCGCTGGATTGCAAGTCCGACGCGCTGACCACTCGGCCACGCTGCCTCCGCAGTCTTAAGAATGTTGATATTATGTTGCAGGTACCGTCCTATCAAACTGTTTGAGATAGCCATCCCTTCCCCACGGATTTATATCAATGAGAAGACGAGAGATGCAAGCTTGTGGATCAGTGACCTGCGTGCTATAGCAACAAGGTAGAGTTCACTTCAACCCCGTACCCTAGTACTCTTGAAATCCTATCTCTGTCACGCAACGCTACACTTCGAAAGCTTAGCGTTACGTTATGGAGAGAGGGTCCCGCAATGCAACATTCCTATAGCTTAGCGTTACGTGACACGCGGAGTGCCGCAAATGGACTCGCTGGGAAGGGATTAGGGAAAAGGAACATGTTTCTATTTTATGTCAGTTCTTGAGTTGTTATGCAGGATTGAGTCAGCATTCGACCCTGGTGGCCCATTAGGTTTCCATAGTGTAAAGTGACTTAGCCTGCGAACAGGCTCCCGGCCAGGATGGAAACAAAAATCCGGCGAGCGCGAAACTGAAGAATGAGCGAAGCGATCGGGAAGGGACATCGAGACGTCCCTCGCTTCGTTGGGGCTTGCTGGGAGCCTGTTCGTAGGCCAAAAGTGACTAGGGGTATTTCTACCCCTCCCCCGACCCCCGCCTCTGGATGAGACTGTAGTCCATCGCAGATTGAATCCCAGTTGTTCGTCATTGTGAAACGTCATGTTACTGAGTAACTATCATCTGTCGTTGCCCTCCTTAAAGTAAATTCGCTATGTTGTTTTCACAGAGGAGAGACAGTGTTTGCTGCTGTTTTTGACCGGCTTGAATCTCTAAAGGATTATTCTACTCAGCCAGACCGTCATGTTAAGATACAGCAGTTTTTTGTAGCACTCGATGTAAGTACATGTAACTTGTTGTCTTAAAAGCAAGGTTTTGCTAAGTAATGTTACACTGTATGGGGACACTTATTCAATGACTTTAAAGGAGCTACGTCACGTTTAGCGTATCTTGAAAAGCTTAGCATAAATGTTTCAATTTCGTCGTTTGTAATCCGTGTCAATCTTCTCCATCCCTGTTTCGTTATGGTTTATTATTATCTCTTTGGTGTTTTCCTATCTTAGTAAACTACTATTTTCAGGTTTCCTTCAACTCAAAGGTAATTTTTTGTACGTGGCTAAAATAACTCAAAATACCGTGACTGAACTCTTTTAATACTAAAAATTGTGAAAATACAAGGAGAAAATGGCAAAGCGTGAGACAAAATGCATTTTGTTGCAATCCCATATTGGATTCTTCAAAAAGGTGCCGTTTTTTTGCAAACAGATGAACATTTTTTTTGAACATTTTTCAGGAGGAGCATACGCGCTTCTTGGAACAAGTTGAAATTGTGGAAAAGAAAGCAGCCAGTCTTCAGGAACCACAGAATTCGCTAGCCACGAAGAACCCGGACTCATGTGAACACTTGGGCCCTGAAGATAGACAGGCACTGGAGTACGTCATAGCAAACAGCTTGAATAGTCTCAAGAAAACCTTGTGCGAAACTGTAGAAAGCTGGAACAATACGTGAGTACTGTTTCAGTGTTGGATAGTCAATAATAGGATTGTAGATGCGAGGTTAGCTAACCTAGTTTATGTAGAGTAGCACAAACACATCCAAGGTCAGTAAGTTGTGCAATTCTGTCATGGCTGATCTTTGGATAAAAGACAACCTCATGTTTTTACGCAAATCTCATGCAATTAGTCAGGCCAAATAAGATCAGAAAATCAGTATAAGGTAAACTACTGTCAAACAATTTCTGTACAACTCACCCTCTGAAATAATCAGAAATAAATCAGGCAAACGTAACTATATTGCTGGCCAAATTTGAGAGATGTTGGTGATTAAAGAAGTCTTCAGTTGTACATTTTCTCTCTTTTTCTCCTACATTTGTCTACAGAGAAACAAATGGAACATAAAAGAATGAAAATAAAACTTGGTACCTTAAACTAAATTCTCCCAAGAGACTTGCATGAAAGTGTATGAAAGCAGTTAAGAGAATTGCACAATCATCCCTGCTGCACAGTTCCTGTGTTTTATTGTTTTAACCCCATGCGATCTCTAGCTTAACTCATCAGTAACTGGAGAAGTTCGTAAATGAAACAAGCTCTCAATGCCTAAATAGGTTTCTGAAGCATGAATGGTAACCCCCACACTTAACAATCCACCTGTACCCATTTATACACCTGCTGGTGGAGAGAGACACTGAGAGAGTGAAGTGTCTTGCCCAAGAACACAATTGAATGATCACGGCCAGGGCTCGAACCCGGACTGCTCGATGCCGATTCAAGTACATTAATCATTGAGCCACCTACCCCCCCCCCCATTCCCATCCCTCCAACAAAAAAATGACAATGCGTTCTTTAATATTCCTAAAGCCTACAAGAATATTTCCAAGCTGAAAAGAAGAAGACCAATAAGTCGATGACATCTTCCATGCGGGAAGGAAAGTTGATGTCTTCAGTACAACTCGACGGAAAGTCATCATTAGAAGTAACTGTTTTTCGCTGTTCATTATTGATTATTATCAGACAGACAGACAGACAGACAGACAGACAGACAACCCTTATTTAAGCACGATTAAAAATTAAAGCTTAGTAGCTTATGGGGTCGTGCATAATAAAATTAAAATCAAATTAAATTATACTTCGTACAAAGTGTATGCATGATAAACACAGTTCATTTAAAATTCTAATAGCATAAGGTTTTACAGAGTGGCACAGAACTGAAATGGAACCTGTTGTCGACTGAAGAGTTCTTCCAAATGAAAAGTTTACTTTAGTGAATTATGTTTCTACTTTGCCTTGTTATGACATTCAAGGGACGAGAAGCTCACAAGTCTGACTGAATTGTCTTACGTCAATCAAAACAACAATAGATAGTTTAAGCATGACGTCACGGCAAACGGCAAACGGCAAGCAGTAAGCGGTAAATGGCAAACGGTAAACGGTAAACGGCATACTGGTCGTTCTTTTAGAAGCATAATCGCACGAAGGTGTTCCTGCAATTTAAATGTACCAGTAGAGTGCCTAATGTCTGGAATCTTTTTTCTCTTCAGCAACTAAGCAAATCGACTGACTTTCTGGGAGTCCGAGGCGTGGACTTGAATTTTCAAGAAGGAAACCTCAGCCCCTCTCAGACTCCCTGGGGATCAAGATCACCCTCACCCTACCCCAGCCCTGACATAAACGAAGACTCACCTGAAGTGTTGAGCGGGCCAGATGTGGAAGTAATGCACGTGACCAGTGGATTTCGACCAATCCCAAGCACGGAAAAAGACGTCAACACCCCAGTGGACTCCCCCACGGAAGGCATTTTACCTGTGGGAGGGGTGGTTAAGGGACATTCTTTGCCTGGTGCAAAAAATGAGCCTTTAGCAAGGGTCTGTCTTGAGAAGAATCTCACAGAGCGGCAAAGGTCTGAAACCCTCAAGGCCTTTGTTGTTATTGAGGCCAAAAGCGAGAAAGGTCTAGATGGCAATTCATCTATTGCCAAAGAAAACGTACTAGCCATAGACCCTCGAGGTAAAGAGGAACCTTGTGGAGGCAAGGTGGATGATGTAAAGGAACCTTCCGGGGAGAGGATGGATGGTGCAAAGGAACCTTCCGGGGGTAAGATGGACGATGCAAAGGAGCCTATCGCGGATAGCGTTGGCGGTATAAAGGAACCTTCTGGGGACATGATGGATGATACTAAATCTAAGGCGTTTTTTACTGAGAATGTTAAGAGCAGAAATGGACCCCCTGACGGTGTCCTGACTGGAGAAAAGGGACCCCCTGGAGGAAGTATGGAGGAGATAAAACACAGTTCATGGTACATCATCGAAGGATCGAACGGGGAGGAGGAAACAGATGACAAATGTAATCCAACAAATGAAGGTGACCAAACCACAAGTCAGGAACAAGACTCTACCTCTGGAGAAACAAAACGTGAAGATAGAGGAACAGAGAAGATGGTCTCAGGGAAGCCTTTCATGTTTGGTCATCGGAGGGTTGCCTCTTCCCCTCCTGCAATTACTGTAACATCAGTTGATAGCACGTCGTTGTCCGGGGGGGAAATCGCAAGTGGTGTGACTTACCTAGAGAGGAGCCGAAGTGACTCTGATGTCAGTACCTGCGTCAAACAAGAACTTGACGAGTCTGTGGTAAGCCATAATAGTCTTTCACGTGTTTATTTGATAAAGAACTGTGACGTTCAGGGAGGAAAAGAAGACTCACCCCACATTGTATGACAGCTTTACTCGCAAAGTTGTCCCAAAATTTGAACTATTTGTATCGATCTTACAAAGTTGTCATTCCAGTATACAGTGAAATAATCGATTTCTCGACCTCCTAAGGAAAACAAAAATTGGTTTAAGAAAACGGGAGATCGATATTTGTCAATTGCTTTCAGTGAGACTTGATTGTTGGTGTAGTTGTAGTGAGTTCCGTTTCATCTTAACCCGAGGAGAAATTGTGGTACGAACAACTTCCTCTCTACGGTGGAGTAGTGGAGCTGAGCCCAATAGCCCAAGAAAAAGGGATATTAGATTATTCTTTCTTAGCTCGTTGTAATCATTTTGTTGCAAGATGTCGACGGAAGACAACTTAGAAAATCTTGATGAAGACGACACTGATGGCAGTGGGCAAATGGGAAAAGAAAAAACAGTGGAAAGCAGCGACGCAGAAGGCTCTATTATAGAACGGAGTTTGCCTGATTTCAGAAAAGTAAACACGGTGCCCAAAGCTCTAGACAAGAAAAGTGAGTAAATAAATAGACTATTTGGTTTGTGCAGGTTATTTTGAAACTCGTCTTTATCGACTTAGGCTTGTCTGATTGAGGAAACAGGCTGCTCAAATTCTTCCCTTGCTCAGGGGACGCGCGAGACTAGCACAGAACCATTCCATATTGATGACGTAACACCAGAGATCCGTATCGTGTCTCTGATTGGTCGCTGCCCGGTTTTGAATTTTTGCGCGAAAGAAACAACCAATCAGATATACTACACCGAGAGCTACGTCATCAGTGAATATTTTTTAATCCAGTTACAGGCCACTCTGATTCGTTTTGACTGACTTTGGATTTTCACGCTTAAGTATTGAGAGAAATCTGTAGCAATCAGCGACAAGAAACATAATTTCTCGTAAAATCTTTTCAGTTTANAGGTTAAAACCAATTACCATGATGATAGGGGCCTTAATCATATAGCCTGTTCCAGGCTCTCGGGCAGTGGGGACGATTGGAAAAGCGGGTGAGGGACAAGCGGGGTCTGTTAGAGAATAAGACTCAGACCCCGCCGGTCGCCTGCCCGCTTTTTCGATCGTCCCTACAGACCGAGAGCCTAGAACAGGCTATTAATCATATTAACACAGAATTTAAATAGTCCTGTATTTGCTCTGTGATATGGTTTGGTAAATACAATTAATATCGTCCTTATTAACATGTCAAGTGCTTTGTTTGTAGCCCAATCCATGAACACCACCTTCTCCCCCCTGGGGAGAAAGTACTTGTAGTTGTGAGTGAGAAGGAGACAAGCTCTATTATTGCCTACACACTGAGGTAAGGACCTCACATAGGCACGTCTGGCGTGCAGAGAGATTTTTATTTATCTATTTTTTTTTTTAAATTTATACCTTCTCAATTTCTTCTCCTGTGGGTGTAATTTGCTACATGGTTCGAGTTATTACAGTTGTGTGATAATTATAATGAAGAAAAGTTATCATCGGGTAGAAAAACTAAATATTTGAAAAACAAAAGCAGTATCACGTTTACATCGTGCTGTGATTGGACAAGGTGCATATCCAATTTCCACATTGGGATGTTGAAGGCACTATGAAATATAGTGCTGATGAAGTTCCCATGTCATGGAATATTTTGGGGAACGTATCTAGACTTGCCTATATTATAAGAGAACACAAAGTCAAAGACGAGCACTAGATCGGTCACGGTATTTTAAGTTACTTTGGTCACAGACAAAATTACTTTTATATTGAAGAAATCCTGAAAATAATAGTTTACTAAGACAGAAAAACACCAACGAGATTATAACCTAAAGGAACAAGGTTGGCTAAGGATGGAGAAGATTAACACGAATTACAAGTAATGAACTTTACATGTAAAAATGTAGGCTAAACTTTTCAAGTTGCAAAACCGTAGCTCGTTTAATGAATGAAACTTTGAAGCTAGATTTTGAAAAGAAAGCTTAAAGGTAGTAATTCAAATGAGATTTGCATCATGCACTTGTCTTTGGAACACACATCAACAAATGGCTCTTGTTTTTTCTACAGCACTAAAGAATATAACGAGTGCTTGCTTGACATTCAGCGGACCCTGTCAGAAATCATGAATGGAGCGACCAGGGAATTTCTACAAAGTAAAAGGTAACAACTGCTTTCGTGACATGTGCAGTCACGCATGACTTCGTGACTGGTGGTACAGTCTTAAGATGACAAGCATAACCAAACAAAAGAACAAAGACATAGGAGGCTCTAAAAATTACTAATTACCTTTCGTAGCTTTTCAATTGTTTGCTGACTATGATTTCTTCATACAGTGCTTTTCTTAGAATAAAGAAATGAATATGTTATTATGGCCTCAATTAATTTGAAACCCTTGTAATCTTGTTTATTGGAGCCAGCCTTGGGCGAAGACTTTTCCACGTTTTCCACTAGTCCTAGTTATGCGCTATTCCACATTAGTCAGAGCTCTCCACAGCATGTCTCACGTTTTTCAGGTGTTTGTTCAGCGGCTACATGTGTTTGTTTTGAGTCATGTTAAAGAAGTGTCGTGTTATTTGTAATTACAGGTGTTTCAGTGTGTTATTTCTTTTGGTTAGGATTTTTTATACAAGTAAAGATCATTAGCAATTTATAGAATACGAGTGGTCCCTCTTTCGCTTAGTCCGTCGTGCATGACACGAAAGAAAACCGCGAGATAAAAATGTCCGCGCGAAATCCTGGGGGCAAGAAGCGTGGCAATCCTTGCCCCCAGGAATACGCACGGCCATTTTTTTTTCGCGCAGTTTTCTTTCGCGTCACGCGCGACGGACTAATCGAAAGAGGGACCACTCGTAGTCTAGCAACTTATGGCATTTGCTTTCTTTAAGTGATTTCGGAAAGTCTGTTGACGTATCTCTGAAGGGACAGCCGCAGGCGGACATTCCGCATTGTTCAGACAAGATTATCAGAGTTGATTCCAGTACAGAGGCGAATGAAGGTGAATAAATAGGAGTCTCATCCTTACAGGCTAACAACAGAATGTTACAAATGAAAACCTGTTTTGTGTATTTTCTGATTGCTTTTATATCTTAGAGCGGTTTTTCAATTGTGTGTCGAAAGTAATCAGGCAATTACTTTGGTTTTGGTTTTGGTTTTGGTTTTACCACGGTTTGAGATTGGCTGAGTAGCCTAATTGGTGAGTAATTGGATTTGGTTTTTACGACACTCAATTGAAATCCGCTCTATTCCGACTTTTCGTTATAAGTGACTGATCATTGCCCAATTTTAGTTCATATAACAGGTTTTCAAACTTGTAACAACCTATAAACGTAACTTTGAGCTGTGAGCTGAAGTAAATTTTCAACTAAGACAATGTAACCTCGAAATGGATCCATGCCTGTAATATATATCTGTGACAAAGCTTCCAGCATTCCATATCCCCCTCCCTCTTCTCCTCCCCCCCCCCCCCCCCCCCCCCCCNATGAGCAACAGTCAGGAATATCGAGTAGAGCCCGACTCACAATCATCACCTCATAGAAAGCACAGCAAAGCGGAAAGGGTCGTGTACTCCAAGGTGAAACACACTGCTGCTCAGAAAGAGGACATCAAGAAGGTGGAGAATATTCCAACTCAAGATACTTCAGCTCAAGATGACACTGGTAATTAACAGTTCATATCTTGCAGGAAAATGCTCATTCCTGCACAGTAAATATGCATGAAACAAAACTACTCACTGTATCCCTGTCAGTCCGCCCACGTTAATCAAAACTGTAACAAAATTCTCGAATCTAATTGGTTATCAACAGGCCCTATTTATGGTAGCATTTATTGATTGGACAATTTACGCGTTATTCGTGCGCGCTGTTGTAGGACGGATCTAGAAAATTGAGAAATTCGAAGGTAAAATATAAATTCATTTTTTACAAGGCGTTGTTCTCAGGCCTAGTTTGCCGTCGTCATTGCTTAAGCTCTCTATTTTTTACTGTGCATATATGGATAATGCGATCTTTCCTTTTTTCAGATCTCGTACAGTTTGGCTTCCAAAGAAAAGATGCTAATCCGGCGGTGGATTTTCACTTCAAACACCGTAAGAGCATGTTTTTCGTTTTTTGGTGGCACTTCTTGTATATTTGTCATTTTCAATGCCGTTTCACACAGCGTCCCTCTTTGGGGCTTCTCTTGTCTCGTCACGCAGTGTTGTTTTAATTGATTGTGTGACGTATGTATCTATTTGTGTGAGAGGCCAAGTAGAGATTGCGTGACAGGTCTCGTCGAGCAAAGTATTCCTCAGTGGATTGTGTGATACATGTAACTTTTTGTGACAAGCAAAGCGGAGATTGCGTGACAGGTGAAATAAATATCTAATTTGCTGATGTTGAATGAGTTTAATTACGAAAATGCTTGAGGTGATTAACAGGTTCTGTCTCTTTTTTCTTTTGGTAATTCCAGAGTTTGCTGACAATACCTGCCGGTTCTACTGTAGTATATATTTTGCTGAACAGTTTCGACTTCTGAGAAAGAGAATCTTTCCTGACGGCGAAGAGAAGTAAGAATTGAAGACTTTCGTATTTTTGTAAGAAGGCACACACATCCCTTACAGATCTTGTAGTGATATACTCGGTACTACCCACAGACATGCATTTCTCTACTCTGGAATTTTTACTCCAGGGGCTCATTTCTCGAATTTTCGCACCCGGGAAGCCATAGCAAAATCTTCAACCTTTTGATTACAGCGCTGTTTTGTTCATACATTCTTAACATGAACAGGAGTTCCCTTCATACTATACGTTTCAGGCGTATACACCTCTCTGTTTTTAGATACAAATAAACTAAAAATGGCTTTGCGCGCCTGGAAATTTTCTGGGGCTTTCGAGAAACGGGCCCCAGGTCACTGGGACCAATGAAGATATTGGTTGGGGACAGCTATAGCAGGGCGTTTCGAGATTATGGGCTTCGGCATGCGCCCTTTTTGTTTCGAAACTCAATGACAGATGTTGCTTGTGCAGTCAACGAGGTTGTGAATGTACCGATGGCCGGTAGCGCAATAGACCATATTCCTACTCAGCAGAATTGGACTGGAACTGTAATCATGGACAACCTTGGTACACTGATGTAATGCAACGAATGATCTGTGTTTTTCAACTGAAAAATTAACAACACTTCTATCCCTTTAACAACGCGTTGCTTTTGCCCCTTCCTCACCCAATAGATTATTGAAACTTAGGAGAAATTACAGGTACTCGTTTTCAACATTGTATGTGGGGTGTAGGGGAGAGGCTAGGTAGGTGAAGTTCTGTTCTTTTCTGCTGTGTGTGCAAAAGCGCCTAAAGTGCAAATTTGTCCCAGGACTTTTGTCGGGGGGTAAAAAGTTCATTAAAAAGAGATTAATGTCATATAATTCTTCCTAATAGGATATACTATCACAGATTATTATGCTTGCGTTCTTTGCTGTCTTTCTCTACGAAAATCTCCCCGCAGCCTCTCGTCTCTAGAAACACAGGGAGACTTTGATTAAAGACACGTGATTGTATATAACTTGTCTCTTGTAGGTACATTCGATCTCTGCAGCATTCAGTAGCGTGGGGGGCTCAAGGCGGAAAGTCGGGATCAGCTTTTTTCAAATCATTAGGTGAGTAGTCGGCTTTCTTTATGATTTAAAGGAGATACAATTTTTTGACATACGCCAAATTATCTGCAAATGGAAGGAAACTTAAACTTCATGGGTTTTTTTTCTTGTTTGAATGCAACTAAAACTACAATACTGGTGATGCACAGCACTTCCTTTACTTAGAGCAGTTTTCAGTTGAGTGTCCAAAGTAATTCGCGTTTGCCTTGCCCGAAGTAAATCAAGAATATACTGAATAATTAAAAGGAGCAAATTCATGGTTTGCGCATTCGGAAAAGTTTAGCCTAAATTTTTCAAGTTCGTCGTTTGTAATCCGTGTCAATCTTCTCCATCCCTAACCATCCTTGTTTCTTTATGGTTTATTATTATCTCTTCGGTGTTTTTCTATCTTAGTAAACTATTATTTTCAAGTTTCCTTCAATTTTGCACGTAGCCAAAATAACTCAAAAGGAATATCGGTTTTGGCTTGCCGTTGCAGATGACCGGTTTGTTATGAAGCAGATGTCCCGGCAGGAGTTGCAGTGTTTTCTGGAGTTTGCTCCTCATTACTTCCGCTACATCAATAAAGCTCTCGATGAACAGGTATAGTGTAGTCACATGACAAGATGACGTCACTCTCTTTTTCTCCATCCCAGTCCCCACCCCCTTAATTTTTTCTTCCGATGCACCTCTAGTTCGCGCCCGGCCATTATTAACCAATTGTAGATGTTCATAGGTTGGACGATCGGGAAGAAGAAAAATGTTGACTGCTGTGCATTTTGATTTCGTATTTATTACGCTTTTTTTTTATTTAAAGTAAAGCTTTGTTTTCACTACGACATAAGCACAAGCACAATCATGACGGTAGAGAGGGCGCCTACAACACAAGCATAAGCACGGAGGCATGCGCAGAATGGATAATTGTCTTATTTTCGGTTCTATGCCTCTTCGATACAGTAAAACAAGATGGCGGACGATGTTTATGTTTACAGCAGCGCCTTGTCACTAGACAAAAGAATAAGAGCAAGCACAAGAAGAACAAACACTTTTTTTTCTGCCTTTGCTTTAGCTTTTGCTTGTATTTTGCGTGTCCTCATACCGTGTTATGTCGTAGTGAAAAACAGGCCTAAGTTTGTACCGTTATTTCGTTCCTTTATAGCGACCGACCTTGTTGGCGAAGATCTTGGGTATATACAGAATTGGTTACAAGAACTCACAGACGAGCGCAACGATGAGACAAGATGTGCTTGTGATGGAGAACTTGTTTTACGACCGGAAAATCGACAAGGTATTTGATGCATTGAACATGGCGACCCCGCAATTAAACGGGGGGTGGGTGAAAACAGCGGCAGACTATGGCACTGTCTGTGGGAGGGACTGTAGCCTAATGGTTAGCCGGCTGGACCCCGGATCGAGCGGTGCTGATTTGAGCTCTGCCACAGAACGCAACGTAATGTCTCCTCCTAAATGTATTAATTGGGACCTGCAAGTTTAATGCTGGGGGGTAACTCTGTGATGGACTAGCATCTAATCCAGGGGGGAGTAGAACTACCCCTAGTCTCTAGATGTGATCGAAAGCGGGAGAAACGCCCTACCGTTTGAAACACATTAGGGACTTCAAGATATGGTACGGCTAGGCTGTAGTACGGTGGCAAATAGTGAAGATCACTTTAGGTGACGTCACGAGGCGCGTTCCAGTACGGCTTTCCCGCCGTAACCTTGGTTACTATTATGGGAAAGTGCCTGGTTTCGCGTACTCTTCACTACGTGAGTATAAGTTTGTTGTTTCCCTCTCATTTTAATGCTTTTTTCGCTGTTGTTCAAACAGTTAATAGATAAAGTACTCAATCATAAAACTCCGTTCGAAAATAATTGTTTGTGTCATTTGTACAGAAAATTTGAACGATTTAAACATCTACCGTGAGTGACAGTCATATTTGTACCAGGCCGAACAACTGCAGATAACAAAACTTCGTATCCGCTAAGCTGAGCTCTAATTGTTTATTGCTGTTCAAAATGTGTTTTTTTTAGAATCGACAGTTTTGTGTTTTCTGGCTCTTCACGTTGTACGAACACCCTGCCCATGCAGAAATCGAGCTTTTTATGTTATAGTACAGGCGGTTCTAAAAGCAGCTGAGAGGCAAATCTAAGTTCTGGGAGAAGTAAGACGGATACTAGAGAAGGAAATCATGGTCATTAATCAAGCCTATGTCGTATGAAAGTAGAATAGTCCCTGGTTTCCCTGAACGAAGCCATCTTTGCAAAGACACATAGAAGCTGCACACCCTGTTGCCGTACAGCGAAATCAGCCAAAGTAGCCGTAGTAGTTGCTCGTTGTAGCGTTTCTTTAAGTCCCTATTATGCTCGATGCAGAAGTTATGGCACTGTCTACCTTTTTTAATACCACCAGAAATTCAAAGCTGAATTACATTTCTTACATCTTTTTCTTCAGACTTTTGATTTAAAAGGATCTATGCGGAGCCGTTATGTTCAGACTTCTGGGCTGAAGAATGATGTCCTGTTGGACGAAAATTTACTTGAAAGTGAGTAATAATCATATTCAGCTCTCGTTAAAGAGCTGCCTTTTTTCGTCTTCACTTGTGGAGTGTGATAAGCTTTGTTTTTGAGTATAACCTGCTGTAACCAATAAAAGTTATCTTCTTTTCCTTTCAGCTAATCAAGTGCCTCATGGTTAGTGTGCTCGACTCCGGATCGAGCGGTTCGGGTTCGAGCCTTGGCCGGGACATAGTGTTGTGTTCTTAGACAAGACACTTTACTCTCATAGTGCCTCTCTCCACCCTAGTCGCTTCATGCTACAGAAGCCGGGATAAGCTCCGGCCTGATGAGCCACTTGGCTCGTATGCAGACTTTACCTAATTAAGTGCAGAACGTGATTTATCTTTCGCAAGTTTTCCCGCGCTCTCTGACACGTTTTCCACATTTGCTATCGGTTGCATGTTTTCCCGCAGATGTCATTGGTTAAATTTTTCCCGCGTTTGCTATCGATTGCATGATTTCCCGCGCTTACCATCGGTTGCATATTTTCCCGCTCTTCCCATTGGTTGAATACTTTTTTTTCTTAAACCGTTTTTCTCTTTTCCTAGTGATCCGTGAATGTCCGATATTTTTCCGACCGCATTCTAAAGCGATTCTCTCCCGTGCGATTCATAACGACACCGAGTTTCTCGCTCAGCAGATGGTCATGGATTACTCGCTTCTTGTCGGCATAGATGAAGCCAGATCTGAACTCGTTACTGGAATCATAGGTGAGGCACTCAACCCTTATAGCTGTCTTTTTCGTTCGACTGCCATGTTGCTTCGCTTTGTGTCACACTAAGACGGAGGAATTTGTAAACGGAGTTTTCACTCTGAAAACGCATCAAATGTTTTCCGTCCTCACTATGTCGGAGGGATTTGAAAACTCAACAACCACTGGTCATTTTGGATTTGTGTTTGAGGAGAACTCCGTCAGGGAACTGAATCACATTATTATCGTGACGCCATCGTTTTCGAAAAGCTCCTTTTTCAAAATGTTTCCTTCCGCAGGAAACGAAAACCCAGCGTTCTCAAATTCCTTCGGTTTAAAGAGGGTTTTCCAAAAGGTACGTTTAAGAAGACTTTTAAAAATGTTTTTCGTCCACACGAAAACGCAAAGCCGGTGTCTTCAAATTCCTCCGGTTTGAAGAGCGTTTTCGAAAAGCTCCGTTTTCGTGACGGATTAGTGTGCACTTGAGGCCTAATCGTAGAAATAAAGCTGCGTTTCCAAATAATTTTACTTCCGGCGTAGTGTGGACGCTAGTTTGTAACTTCTCGATTTATTTCTCGATTGATTCAACTGTATTCACAACTGTTTATTAGGATCGTCACGCAGCCTGTCTGGGTGAAGTGTTGTGTGACAATCGTTGACTCTCGTTGTGTAATTTTTTTCCTTCTAGATTTTATCCGAACATTTACGTGGGATAAGAAGCTAGAAATGTACGTGAAAGCGAGTGGTATTCTGGGAGGCCAAGGGAGAATGCCCACTGTTGTGTCCCCAGAGCTGTACAGGACACGATTCACCGAGGCCATGCACAGGTACTTCCTTATGGTCCCGGACAAATGGACCGGGCTTGGGAGTGACCTTGACTAAGGAACCAGTATGGTGTCCTCTTAGCTCTACAAGACACTGTTAGCCGGGGCCATGCACAGGTACGTCCTTATGGTCCCAGACAAATGGACCGGGCTTAAGGATGACCTCGACTACGGAACCACTGTTATGTCCTCTTAGATATACAGGAGACAATGCAACGAGGCTTTGCACAGGTACTTCCTTATGGTCCCTGGTGGACTAGGCTTGGGAATGACCTTGAATAAGGTACCTGCTTTCCAATTCAATTTGTTCCGAGTGTTTTGTTATAAGGACTTATGATCAAAATTCTTCACTTTTTTGCATACGTTTTCTAGAATTGCCCGTGAAAATTTAGTTTTTCAATCAAGAATGTGAAATTGAAATTGTAAAG